AGTGCAGAGATCATTTCAGGCATCTCCCTGCTCTAGGCTGTCCATAGCCTTCTTCTGTTACTCATTTCTGTCCTCAGGCATTCTTCTTCATGTCTCCCCTGAATTCTTGTGTTTTCTAGTTAAAGCCATGTCCTCTCATCCTGTCCCTTGGAGGATGGATGTTCCTCTGAGTCTCCCCTCTAGATCTAAAGACTGGCCTGAGTCTGTGCTCTGTGAATCTGTGGTCTTAGGCAAGTCCAGAGCCCTCTCTAGGATTCAGTTTCCACATCTGGACAATGAGCACATTGGACAGTCTCTGAGTCCCTAACTTTCTGAGTGTCTATGAACTTCAGTGCCTGTGTTGAAGGCAGAATCGAATATAAATAGTCCTATCCCTGCCGCCTGCCCCTGGTCCTGTGACAGAGCTGCCTCTCCTTGCCCAGTGATTCTCCCCTTTGAGTCCGTTCTATGCTCCTACACATCTGGCACATGCCAGATGAAAGGAGTCAGAGAAGTGTGGTCCCTTTCTCAAGGTTGCACAGCTCAGCCACAGGACAGCTGAGGTTTTTCTTCTGATTCTCTTAAGAGGCCTCCCCCATCGGGTGCCAAAGCCCAGAGCAGAGCTTATGTCTCAGAGGGGAATGAGTTTGTTTGTGTGAAGAGGCACTATAAATAAATAGAGAAAGTATGGCCGCGTGGGTGTGAGGGGAGAGATGTAAACGTTCTCGCATTCCTCAGCAGCCTGGCTCCCTCAGGTTTCCTGAGTTCTTGCAAGCTGGGGACAGGCCAGCCACAATCTCAGATGTCTCTTCTCTCACCCTAGTTCCTCCTGGTGCCATTTTCATAGACTTATCCAGCCTCCCTTCTGGTCCGGAAGCTCCTTTCTGGTTGTTGTTTTTTTTTTTCTGCTTCTTATTGGAAGAATTCCCAACCACACTACCCAGTCCTAATTGATCCCTTACACGACTTGTATCATACGATGAGAGCTTCAAGTCGGACTGTGGGATACACTTGGATCCGGTCAGTCTGGAAATTTTGACTTACATGTGAAAATCATGGAAGCACTCGTCCTCTGAGCTGCCCCAGGCTCCTGACCACTGTGTACATGGTTTTGTTTGGGTTGGCAGGCGATTTGCAGTTCAGATGGCCAGGAGCTGGGAAGGGGAGGTCAAAGGCTAATTCCTGTGAGGTGGCCAGGCAAAAGTGCTGAGAGGGACCTGGCTCACGTCTCATGCTGTAAAGTTCTCTTTTTCTTAAAGAAGGAGATTTCCGAGCTCGAGTACTGTCAGTTGGCTCCTCTTCCAGACCCTCTCCCTCTCTGTTAATGTCATTCTTTCATTCATTTATCAGATACTATGCTCTGTTATTTCTATACTGAGAGCAAAATTTAATGAAACTTGGTCCTTATTCTTAAGAAGTTCATAGTTTATTAAAGAAGAAAATCCCTCCTAAGTACTTCTAATCCAGAGCGCTGAACTCAGTTCTGAAAGAGTGGCGGAAAAGTCAGGGTGGCTTCACAATATCCGAGCTGGCTGTGAAGGATGAGGAGGAGTTGGGGCCAGGTGGTGACGCAGTGGTACGACGTGACACTCCGAGAAGCTGACGGCATGGGAAAGTTCCAGGTTTGTACCTGGAGACCTCTCTGAGTACTCTGGGCTGCTTGTTCGTGATCAGAGGCTGTCTGAAGCCGAGGGTGGATCCTGTGGGGAGTGCTGTGTCTCTGTTTCTTCCTCTCTGTTGTCTCTCTATTCATGGAAGAAATCAATAGGATAAACTTCATAAAAGGGAAAATAATTAGAAGGAGTTGGTTAAGCACTAGAGATTGGGAATCGTGCTCAAGGTGGAGGAAGTAGCATGTGTTACAGGCACAGGGAGAAGGCGCCAGGAGGCGGTGAAGAGTGAAAATTTCACCACGAGAGGAAGAGGCTAAAGGTTGGGCCACCAGAGAGCTGTGCTGGAGAAGCAGGCAGGGGCTAGCTCACAGCAAGCTGGGTGTGGCACATTAGTGTTTGGAGTCTGTGTGGGTCAACCGCCGAGTCCAGGCGTTTTAAGTCTAGTTGGATCAGTCAAGAGCTTTGGCTCTTGTGGATACCTCCTGTGAGAAGGGAGCCAGCATTCAGCATACCCCAGCCCCCTTACCCTGCATGAGCCACAGTCATTGCTTACTCTATGCCTTTGCATGTAGTCCCTGCTGTCCGAGAAGGTGGTTAAGGCACTGGACTCCCACATGTCCGACCATGGTTCAAATCCTAGACTTGGTGGCTTGCTTTCTCACTTTCTGTCTCTCTCTGGTCAAATGAAAAATAAACAAATAGGGACCAGCAGTTGGTGTAATGGCTATGTCACTGGACTCTCAAGTAGTCGACTGTGGTTCAAGTCTTGGACCGGTGGTTTAAACTCACGCCGGGCGCATGTGCGTGTGTGCCCAAGATCCCAAGAGGAGCATGGATAGAAGGGATTGCAGCGTGGCCATTCCCCCCTGGGGGGTGATTTCTTACTTTCTGTTTCTCTGTCCCCTTCTGTCTGTCTAGCGAGCGCACGTGCCCTATAGCAAAAAACCCTCCAAAATGATAATAATAACTAAAATAATTATTTAAACATTTTATATCTCTATCTATCTGTCTATATCACTACTACTAATATCATGTTTATTTCCTAGTGTGTCAAGTGCCCACATTCACCCATTTGTCCACAACTTCAACTCTATCCTTGACGACTCCTTTGCCCTCCCAGACCAGAGGCTTCCCACTGCACTTGCTGAGTGTCCCCCAGGCTGTACTTCTGTGCATTGGCACTGCTTCCATCTGGTCCCGTCACTGGTCCAGGTCCAGGTCCAGCATCATCTCAAAACAAGAGAACAGCAAAAGCCTCTTCCTGGCCTCTGCTTTCAGTCTCACCCTTCAGTCTATTCTCCATTCCTGTGGTCGCTGTGACTGGTTCTAAAATGTAAAAGGGCCAGCTTTGCGCAGTGGCAGTATCATAGCCAATGAGGTTTATCCGAGGCACGATTATTATTGCTAATTAAAATGTAAAAGGATCCCGCTACTCCCCAGCTTAGAGCTTTGCCTGGGTCTCTGCCCTCAAGCTCTCAAGGCCCCGCGGAGCCGCTGCCTCACTCCAGCTGTTCTCTTGCCTCTCACTCCCACCTTCCCATCCTCCCCCAATCTTCTAAACCACTCTCATCTCTGTCTCAGCCCAGGTCCGTGTGGACATGAGGCAGCATTGAGGGAGTCTAGTCCGGCTCCTTCGTGGGGCCAGAGAGCACAGAGAGGCCCTGGAAATGAGGTTGATGCCATTGTGTGAGCTGAGAGATTGACTGAGGATGTTCCTGCCCTACGAGAGACTCGGGGGCTGCCACACAGAGTTCTGGGTGTAAAGAAAATACTATGAGAAAAGACTGCTACGGAAGTTTGTGATCAGAGTTCAGATTTGGATTTTGTTTTTAACCTCTGACCTAATTGAGCATCTAATATGTGTCGGCACTAGGTATATTGCATATATTATTTTATTTTATTCCACAATAATGCTGACGGGTAGAGATTATTCGTCCCATTCAACAGGTGTGCAAACAGAGGCCTGAAGTGGTTCAATAACGCCTATATTCAGGATGCAAATAAAAGCCAAATTCGTGATTTGAACCCTAGCTTATCTGGTTCCAGAAACTCCCTGAGAGAAGGCATGCTTGACTCCTGTGTTGGGAAAAAGACATGGGGGCAAGGTGGGTGGCATGAGAAACAGTGATGGAGAGAGAAGGAAACTAGGGTAGGCCTGGGGCCAGGCTGGGTGTGGGAAGTCCACAGACGACCAGAGGGACGGAGACATGTGAGACAAGCTTTGCCTCCTTCACAGTGTCATTCCGGGTCAGGCCCACTGGCTCCCTGAGCTCATCCTAACCCACACTGGAGCCCCTGGGAGCCTGGAAGGTATGGGGTCATCATACCACACTTGGTAACTACCTCTAAGAATCAAAGAATCTTGGAATGGTCAAATCTTAGATCCTCAACATCACGTAGTTCTAGACGCTTATGTTCTTGTGAACTGTAGGCTCTTTGAAACATGAGATTCTCACCCCTGGAATGTTAAAATCACGGGCTCATCACTGTCTAAGCAGAACACCTTTGAAGGTCATAGTTTACTTCTCCCCTTATTTTGTAGATGAGAGAGTGAGGCTTAGAGAAGAGAAGACAGTCGTCCTAAACATCACACAGTGAATTTGCAGCTTAAGGAACTAGGGCCACGTATAAGGTGTGGGGCTAGTGCCAGGGCTACAGGAACCACCAGGCCGCCTGGCGGTCCCTCCTCCTCCTGGCTTTGGCATGGCCCCGGGCACTCACCTCCCTAGAGGAAGAGAGCGCTCTAGGCAATGCCACCCTTCCTTGTGCCTCTCACCTTAGAGGACATAGTGGGGTGGGGACCATGGCCACAAGAGGCGTCCTGCCAGGCCCCCCACATTCTCAGCCCTGCCAGGGCTATTGGTGGAGGGAAGGGGCCTCCTGGCCTAGGCATTGGTTGAGACAGTCTCTCTGTCTTCGTGTCCTGAGCAGGGTGTGAGGTGGACAGGGTGCCAACTGGCACAGGAGCCAGGGCTGCAGGGCCGCCCCAAGGAAGGCAGGACAGGGTTTCTTCAGCACAGGCTGAGACCCAAGGTGGCAGTCATGTTGCAATCAGCCCTCCCTGGCAAGGGCATAGGGCTGAGGAAGAAAGACATTATTCACTCCTTGGAGAGTTGGGCTGGCTCTGAGCAGCACCCAGCTGGGCCTGTGTCCACCCACTCTGCCAGTGGAGACCAAGAGATAAACATAGCCTATTTGATACGGGCCAGCCAGGCCTTACCGGCTTGCTGGTGTGCTGGGGAACAGAATCCACTGATGGCCCTCACCATGTAGGGGAGCTCAGAAGGGACCGGGGAGGAGAATAACCTGTATGTTCCTGTAGTCCTTGGTGGCCCTCAAAGCACAGACCGAAGGTGTGATGGCCACTGCCTCAAACCTTTGCCCTGGGAGGCTGAGGGGGCGAAGCAGGAGCAGTGAGGAGCCAGAAGGAGGTTGCTGTCAGCCTCATACCAAGAACACTTCCCAGTGGTTAGGAATGGCTCCAGCTCCCGTGGGTGTGTGCCAGGGCTGCACCCACGGTCTCCAGCTCCCGTGGGTGTGTGCCAGGGCTGCGCTACACCCTCCCACGGAGCCGAGGGTGAGTGTCTGCATGGGTGTGCACCCCCACCCCACTAGTGCATGCTGTCTATGCTCTCCATTCTGTGAGTTCAACATCTAAGAGAATGTCACCCAGAGAGCGTGCTTCCAGGGTGCTAGGAAAGGGGAAGGATGAGGCCTTAAAGGCAACTGTGATAGTTCTTTTTTTTCTTTTTCTTTTTTTGGAGAGGTTTTTGCTATAGGGTGCGTGCACTCGCCAGAAAGACAGAGAGAGACAGAGACAGAAAGCGAGGAATCACCCCCCACCACCACCACCCCCAGGGAGGATGGCCACACCGCAATCCCTTCTCCATTCTCCTCTCGGGATCTTGGGCACACACACACATGTGCCCGGCATGAGTTTAAGCCACCAGGTCCAAGACTCAAACTGTGGTTGACTACATGGGAGTCCAGTGACATAGCCATCACACTATAGCTGATCCCTTTCTTTTTCTTTCTTCTTCTTTTTTTTTTAAGTTAGTTAATTTTTTTCTTCCATGAGCTAGAGAGAAAGGGACAGAGAGAGATAATCATACCAACAGACACACTTCAATGCACTCCCAGCTTCAGCCAGCCTGTATCATAGACACATGCCTGCCCAGGGTGATTAAAGAGGTCCCTGGATGCGAACCCAGAACCTTCCGTGTGGTTGGCATCAGCTGCATTGCGACTAAATTGCTGCTGTATTGCTGCTGTGCCACCATCAGGCCCCATGACTCCTAGATTCTAAACCAATAGGGCGCTAGGAGAAAAAAAATAGGGAATGGGAGATGGTTGTCAGTGGGGCAGGGAAAGAAGTTTTGAGGCCTTGGGATTTGGTAAAAAGCCAGGGGTAATGAGGCAAACCCAAAGGAACTCTGCTTTGGAGCAGGAGCCCTGGGTTCAAATCCCTAACTGGATAGCTTTAGGCAAGTCACTTAATCTCTTTGAGCCTTGGTTTCCTCATCTGATTTTCTGATAATTACGGTAACAATCACGGAGCCACTGCAAGGTGGATTTTAGTGTCAGCTTCAGAAGACTACAATGACATCTCAGTGGCTTTGTGCTTGTTACTGTAATTCTGCTAATGACAGTATCCAGCTAAGCCTCAGGAACTGGGCTTATGAGCATTATCCAATTTGATTCTCAAAACAATTATAGTAGTGAGAGATAATTAAGCAACTTATGTAAAAAGTTCAGCACAGAGACGATAGTCAATAAACATTGGTTCCTGGGACCAGGAGATGGTGTCATGGTTCCGTTGCTGGACTCCCACGTAGTTGACTATGGTTCGAGTCCCAGACCCAGTGGCTTCAACTCACTTCGGGCGCATGTGTGTGTGTGTGCCCAAAATCTCGAGAGGAGAATGGAGGAGAAGGGATTGTGGTGTGGCCATCCCCCTTAGGGGGTGTTTCTCACTTTCTTTCTTTCCATCTTTCTCTGTCTCTCTGGTGACCGCTCACACCCTATAGCAAAATTCTCTCTCTAAAAAAATTAAATCAACAAAGAAAAAAATTGATTCCTTTCTTCATATTTCATATTTCAATCTCATTTAATTGAACAAACCTCTGTCTGTTGGTGCTTAGCTTGTGCTGGGCTTCCTAGTTCCTCCCCCAAAAAGCTCAGATAATGGATCGTATAGCTCACCATGTCCCCATGTGGAAGGTGGTTGGCTGGGATAGGGCAACGCTGGGAGGCCTGATCTGTGTTGGGTAGCCAGTGGGTAAGAAGTGAGGGCAGGAGTGCATTGATTGGCTGAGAGAAATGAGAGAGAGGCAAAAGTTTCAGGAAAGCAGGGCTACAAGGGAGATAGCTACTCCACCTAACAAAACAACTGCAGTTAGTGTAATGGCTATGTCACTGGACTCCCAAGTAGTCGATCGCGGTTCGCGTCCTGGAGCCGGTGGCTTAAAACTCACGCCGGGCATGTGTGTGTGTGTGCCCAAGATCCCGAGAGGACAATGGAGAAGAAGGGATTGTGGCGTGGCCATCCCTCCTGGGGGGTGATTTCTCGTTTTCTGTCTCTCTCTGTCTGTCTGGTGAGCGCACACGCCCTATAGCAAAAACCTCTCAAAAAAAAAACAAAAAACCTGCTTTAGTCATTCTTAAAAATATTCATCTACATATTGACAATTGATCTGCAGGTTAACAGAAAATAAATTGATGTGCCAATCACAGATCACAGTAGTAGCATCAACCATTTTTAAAAGTCAGTTTTCTAATAACCTTCACTCATGGCTTACTGAGATACAGGGACATAGTACTGTATAAAAGCAGGAAAGACTGTGAGTGGTTTATTCAAAAGATAGGTCACAGGACTCCGGGAGGCCATGCCCTTGTGTGCGTGTGTGAGTGCACGTCCATGTGCGTGGGTTGGGGAAAGAAAGGAGAGGAAAAGGCAATGTGCTAAATAAATAAATAAGCAAAATGAGGTTGAGAAAAGGAAAACGAATGGGAGTAAGAGTACAGAAGGAGTGCTGGACCACGAGTCAGGAGACGCAGCTGTCACTCTTGCATGCAGACTGACAGGCCGTGTGCCCTTAACAGTGTGATTTCTCCTCTTGGGGCTTCTTATTATCCATCTGATTATAATAGCTAACACTTATATCACAATTTAAATCTGTACAGCATTTTCACTGCTTGAATCCCTACCCACTGTGCGAGATAAGTGATGAAGCTCAGAGAGGGGCAGGGACATGCCCAACATCCTGTAACAAGTGTGTGTTTACGCTGAGATTCAGGCTCAGACATTCTGGCCGCCTGACTGGGAGAGCTTACCCAGCTGCCCCGCAGGTGCTTTTTAGCCTGAGCAGTCCAGATGACATTCTTCCTAGGGCCAGAGAGGAGGGATGAGCCTGGGTCTTTGGGCTGCAGCCTCTTGGGACTAACATTGCACTGGTTGGTTCACCAGGCCCAGATCTGTTCTGCCTTTTCCATGGGAAGAGATACTCCCCCGGAGAGAGCTGGCACCCCTACCTAGAGCCACAAGGCTTGATGTATTGTCTGCGCTGCACCTGCTCCGAGGTAGGTTCCTCTGGCCACCAGGCCACCTGCATGAGGTATGTCTGGGAGATCTCCAGAGAAGTCATCCCAGAGAACGGGAGGACAGCCTGACCCTGGAAATCAGGGGTACCCTGCAACTGGGTTCCCTGGAATTGTGTTGCCCGCAGCAATTGGGGGACCTAGGGGGTGCCACCTCACTACAGGTACTCAGTACACAGGGGCAGATGGCTGCTGTGCCTCCCAGAGATAAGTGGCATGATGGGCCAGTGGCTGGGCTGGCACGAGGACCTGCACCTCCCTTCTCCCCTCCCAGCCTTCCTCCTACCTCAGGTTCATCCCAGCCTCCCTGCCTCCCAGGAGCCTGAGACAGTCTTTCTGATCTTCCCTTTCTTTCCTTCTTTTTCATGGACTATTTCCTCGAGCAACCTCTCCTGCCCCAACTTAGGATGTCTGAGGGGACTTCAGAAAGTTTATAGATGACCAGCAGGTGGCATGGAAGTTCAGGTTGTTGGATCCTACATGGCCAAGTCTGTGGTTCAAGTCCCAGACTCAGTGGCTTGAAAATTGCACCGGGTACATGTGCATGCATGTCCAAAATCTCTAGAGCAGAATGGAAAAGGTATTGAGGCATGGCCACCCCTCCTTGAGACAGGGCGTGATTTCTCATTTTCACTCCCTCTCTGTCGCTCTGACAATCCACACATACCCTATGGGGGAAATAATCATGGAAAATTGAATTAAAGTATGAGTTTAGAGTAAACCAGTGGTGTGGTGGTTGGGATGCCCAGATCTCACATGGTTGACTGCGTGGTTCAGTTTCCATGCCTGGCACCTTGAATCACATGACAGTTACATGTGTGTGAATGCCTTAAATTCCAAGAGGAGAATGAAGGAGAGGGGCCATGGCCATCTCCCCTGTGGTGTGCTTTCTCATTTTCCCTCTCTGTCTCTGTCTTTTTCTCTCTGGTGAACGCGCTTTCCCTTTAGCAATTTTTTTTTTTAAAGTATGACTTTATTTTTGGTACAGAAAAATTTTGAAATCCACTCAGTTTTTTCTTTTTAAAACTATGTATTTTCCATGAACTTTTTGAAGGCTCCTTGTAGTCTTTCAACTCCACTGTCCCAAATAGTTACTGATCAAGGTATCACCCAGAGGGCAAATGACCTCTACCTGGAAGCATTCCCTTCTTCTGGGACCCCACCTAAGTTTCTGTGTTCCTCTTCCTGATCACTGCGGGCCAGTTCTACTTCCCTGTGTCTGTTGGTTACTGCCCTTTGCAGACTTGGGCCCTTAGAACAGGTCTTGCTAGGCCCTCACTCATGCCCAGTACGATGCCCTGCCAGAGGCTGAACCAACAGGGCAGAGACCACATCTTTGTCTTCATCTCCATCTCCTTCCACTTGTCCCAACCCAGCACTCCGCAGGGCTGAACAGTCAACTGGGTAGAATAAATGAGATCCCCATGTGGTCCAGAAGTCTCAGGTGACGTATGAAGTTGGAGGGTGGGAGGGGAGGGAGTGGCTTAGGAAGCTTAAAAAAACCTTGGCTTTAGCTCAGCTGCCTGGCCCCCACCTAGCTTCCCCAGAGTTGCTGGTGCTTGGGGGCTTGGGGTTAGTCAACTCTCAGCTGGAGCCAGCCCTTGACCCCTCTCTTTGTCTGCAAAGAACCAAAAGAGCAACACAGAAAGCGTCTAAGAGCCTTGTTAAGAGAGAGATTTCTGGAATGGGAGCAGAGAAGAGCTCCCAAGGAGACCCTGCAAAGTGGAGGCAATGGCCTAGCCCCTCTCCTGGCTCCAACATTGGGGTCTTACTCCTAGGCCTTTCCTTTTGATTCTCCATTGCTTCTACCATGTTGGTCCCAGGTAGAAACAGAACATAGCCCTACTCTCTCCCACAACCCGCCTTTCCAGTTTTCTTGAGCACATCTAAGGCCAATCAATCTTTTCAAAAAGAACTTTATGAAAGATAGCCAGAGAACAGAAAGGAAACCATAACAGAAAATTCCAGACATAGTATGTGGTCCAGTTGACAAAGTCCAAGTTTTGAGATCCATTGGAGCTAGTTCATTTCTCTTTCCCCAGAGTTTACACACACAGACACACACACACAGACACACACACACACACACGAATTTCTTTGACCCAGAGGGCTATTGTCAATGTCTCCAAAATATAACCCAAGCCCTCCACTTCTCTCCTCCATCATCACTCCCCCTAATCTAGGTCACCTTCATTTCTCACCTAGGCTGCTTCTCAAGCCTCCTAACAGGTCTTCCTGTTTCCTGCCTTTAAATCCACCCTCCACACGGCAGCTAGAATAATCTTTTCTGCACATAAACTGATCGATCGGTCTGTCCTTAAAAACCTCCAAGAGCTTTTCATTGCACCTAAATTATGATTCGCATCTCCTCTGGGTGCCCTGTGGGTCTGACCTGCCCTCTCCAACCTCACGCCATGCTTGTCTGCTGTCCTGCAGTACGCTGGCTTCCTCAGTTCTCCCAACACATGAAATTTTTTTTTTGTTCCCTCCACTAGAATGTTCTCCAGATCATCTCATGAAAGACTCCTTCTCATCTCCCCATCTGTAACATAAATGTTACTGGACTGGCAGGCGGCACGGTGGTTAAGGGCACTGGACTCCCACATGGGCGACCGTGGTTCAAATCCTGGACCTGGCGGCTTGCTGTCTTACGTTCTCTCTCTTGCTCTCACTTTGTCCCTCTCTGGTCAAATTAAAACAAACAAATAAATAAATAAATAAACTTAAATAAAAGATAACTTTAAAAATATGTAATAAATAAATGTTACCTCTCTGGGAGGCCTTCCCTGACAGCTGTTTTTAAAACCCACCTATTGTCTCCATCACATTACTGCTTAGTTATTATCATAAACTTAACATCCAAAATGGTCTCATTCCGACTTACTTTTTTATAATCTGTCTCCTGCTCCCAGCTTAAATCCCAGAGTAAAATCTTGTCCCCCTCACTGCGATGTCCCTGGTGCCCAGAAGAGGGCCTGGAACGCCATAGACAGCAGCAAATATTGAATGAATGAATGAGTCCAGCCACCAGAGGCAGCTCAGCATGTTGGAAAGGACACCTCCCTTGGAGATGGGCTTGCCCGCTGTGTGATCTTAGGCAACTTAACCCCTTGAAGACTCTTCTCTCATTTTGAAAATATAATAGTGCCTTCTCTAGGTCGTTGAGAAAATGAAGTAAGATTACTTATACTTAATATAAAGCCCCTGCCTGGTAGCCACTCAATAAAGGGTAGCTTTTTCTGGAGAGGTTCCTTGGCTGCAGAGGGCATGTTCTGTGCCCTCCACCCTTTCACCTCTGCCTGTCTCCATCTTATCTCCTAGGGGTGTTGCTGATCATCTCCACCCTGTCTCCTCCGAGGTCAGAATCAAGAGAGACATTCGTACTCTTCGGGCTACACAGTCCTTCGTTCCCCACCCTAGTTTCCCACCGGGGAGCCTCAGTAAACCCTCGACATTTATTAGGCACCCACGTATACTGGCCCACACATTGCCCGTCAGAGCTTAGACGGATTCTCGGGCCTCTGGGGTGCCCTCAGCACTGCTTAGTCCTCGCAATTACCTCTGACCCTTGTGGGAAGCAGTGACCCAGTAGAAGCTGGGGGAGTGGCCTATGGTCTCCCCTGGGGCGGGAAGTTCTGTCAGAAGTGCTGTCAGAGAGGGGACCAACAAGTGGTATGGTGGTTAAGGCGCTGGCACTACCACTTGGCTGACCAGGGTTTGAGTCCTGAATCTGGTGGCTTGTTTTCTCACTTCCTCTCTCTCTCACTCTCACCCTCTGTCTCTATCAGATTAAAATAAAAAATAAATGAATGAATAAATAAAACAAAGTAAAATAAATAATTATTTTTTAAAAAAAGAAGTGCTGTCAGAGAACTCAGATGGGCAGAGTGTGGTGGGAGGAAACAAACTTTGCCAACTTCAGAGTTGTGAACAAACCTGGGTCCATTGGTCTAAGAGAGAGACCAACTGTTCTCATTCACTTGTTCTCATTCATCACTTGTTATTCATTCACTCACTCACTCATTCATTCATTGGGACTTCAGCAGGCCCTGACTTAGAGCAAGGCCCTGTGCTGATCATTCCCTGGGATTCACAGTTGAGTAGGAGAAACAGATAGAAGGGGGTTGTCACCATCCAGTGCAGTGACCCTGTGACCAGAGGGAAGAGTGAGGAAATCCAAGGAGGGGGACAGACTCTGCCTGGCATGCTGGGAGAAGCTCCGCAAGGGCTGCAGCTCTCCTATTTTGTCTCATCTCTCTCTCTCTCTCTCTCTCTCTCTCTGTATTTCTTTGCCTAATTATCTCTCATTTGCTCTACTTGAATAAGTGAAAGGGCTTTGCTCCCCCCCCTTTTGCCTGGTGTCAGTGCTAAAGGCTTTGTCCAGGGTCACCCAAACTTCCCAGAAGGTTTAGCAAGTGTGATCACAAAGCCTTTCTCTTTGTCAAGTTTAGTCTTGTTCCCATCCTGGTCACCTGTTCACTTTCGTGTGCTACATTTCGCTCTCTCTCTCTCTCTCTCTCTCTCTGTTTTTAAAGAACTATTTTATTGATTTTGTTCATTATTACTATTATTATTTAATTTGATCAGTTTTTTGAGAGACAGCCAGCTAACAGTTCTGAGACTCAAACCACGGTCAGTCATGTGAGAGTCCAGTGTCTTAACCACCATGCTACCTGCCTGCCCCCACATTTCCCTCTTAACCTCAAGGCTCAGGCCCAGAGTTAAAGCAAAACAAAACCAAAACAAAACAAAACCAAAACCAAACCAAAACAAAAACAAACAAACAAACAAAAACAAGCCCTGAAGTTAAAGCAGCAAAATACCAAAGTCAATGTCAAAATAGCGCCAGGCTTTTGCTCATGTTTCTCAAAGCCGTGAAGAGGACGCGACATCAGAGCAAAGCTGTGGGCAGGCCTTGCCCTCCTCTGGGGTGGGAGAGAGACACAGACGAATGGGCACGAGGAGGGGAGGGACTGGGCACGCTTGAGCTCATTTGTTTGTTCGTTTTTAATTTTTCCAGAGGGTGTGTGCACTCATCGGAGAGAGAAAGGGAGGAAGCACCCCTCAGTCACACCGCAGCCCTTTCTCCTCCATGTGTCCGTCTTGTCGGGATTTGAGGCACACTTATACACACTTCGTGTGTTTTTCAAGCCGCTGGGGCCTGGATTTGAACCATGGTCGGCCAAGTGAGATCCAACTGCCAGGCCATAGGGCTGTCGCAAGCTCATTCTTTTTACTCCCATTCCAGGCTCAAAAAAGTGCAGAGTTCAGAAGCTGGGAGGGGGTTTTGTTAGAGGATGGGTCCAGGTGGGAGGCTGTGGGTTTTTGAATCCAGGGCTGGCCTTCATGTGCCTTTCAGAGTGCCCATGTGAGTTGTTACCGCCTCCACTGCCCACCAGTCCACTGTCCCCAGCCCGTGACGGAGCCGCAGCAGTGCTGTCCCAGGTGTGTGGGTAAGTAGGCTCACTCCTCCCATTGCCCGCTGGCCCATCTCACCCCCATGCAGGCCCCCGGCTGCAGGAGGCCCTCAAAGGAGAGAGTCCATCTCTGCTCATTGGAGGTGGTGAGACATGGACATGCTTGGTGGAACAAATGTCTCCTTCTTAAGAGTTATGCATGGCAGAGAGGGGAGAAAATGCAGAAATGGGGCCTGTGGGTGGGCACGCCTGGGCTCTAAGCTCTCTCTAGCTGGCTGAAGCTGGAGGGAGTGAACACATCCTGGGGAGTGGAGGTGAGTAGCCTGGGGCTGGAAGGCTCTGAAGGAAGACCCCAGGATTCCCACCATGGGGCGGGGGTGACCAAAGGAGTGGACACATGTACTCCGAGATTTTTCCTGTGCTGAGATCCAAGGGTTCTCTGCGTCCTGAGGCTAAATGTCTACGATTCCATGTGTTTAATATTCTAAGAGCCTCTGAGACTGGGATTCCAGGAAGTAGAGGTAACAGAAAGAAGAGAGAGGCTGGCATAACCAGGAAGCGAGAGAAGGGCAGCCAGAGGGATGCCAGCTTAGAATGGAGAGACGAGAGGAGAACTGATGTCTAGAGCACACAGAAGGGGCTCCAGAGTTTGGCCACCACCCAGGGCCCTGGCACCGGACTCTCCTGGTGCACTGGTGTGGAGTACGTGCAGAGTACGTGTGGAGAGGGGCCTGTCTCCTCAGTGGGAGCCCAGGAAGAGTATGCCCTGGCTCTGACTGAGGTCATAGTAACTCCTGGCTCTTGGATCCCTTGGAGAATGAAGGTAGGCCTCATCCTGCCTCCTCCATGTGGAACACCAATCCGGGGGTCCTTCCCTCTCTGGCCCCAGGACTCCTCCCTTTCTGTGCTGAACTTGGGTTGTCCTCTCTCCTAACCCTTCATGCCTTGGCCAAGGCGCCTTCCTCAAATGCTCTTCAAGCCCCTCGTCCCCTCCCCTGCCACTTTGCCCAGGTGGCTTTCCTTGTTCTCAGCCTCCAACCACTTCAGGAAGACCCTTCCCTGACCAGTGTGCCCCTGCAGAGCTGGGGGATCCTTCTCTGTGCATCCACAATACTGGGCTGCCCCAGGCCCTGCCCCTACCATGCTGTAGCATGTGGCTTGTGACTTGTCTGTCCACTCAATCAGAATGGGATTCACGATGGTGGGGCTGAGTCTTATCCACCACCTGTTCCCAGGGCCGAGGCTGGGGCCTCGTACAGTGGAGGCACTTGGTAAACATGACGGCATGAACGAATAGGTTCTCTCCAGACCTGAGGTTTACCCCTCCGCCCAGCAGGGTGAGGAATGACTCATTGGCAGGTGACAGGAGCAGGGCTGTGGAGCCAGTAAATGACAGGAATTTATACCAATTGCAGACAGTCAGGATCATCCCAGAGACTTCCCCGGAATATAACAGCACGAGGGCAGGGGCTGTGGCTCGCCACTGTATTCCCAATACCTAGCACCAGGAGGTACTCCAGGAATACCCATTTGGTGTCGAATGAACTAGCATGAATGACTGCAAACCCCAGTGGAGCTGAGGCTTTCAGCTTTTCTTCTCGCCCTGGCCAGGGCTAGCTGTTAGTGAGGGGCTAGGAGGCTGGAGAGGAGGGCTGTGGTGGGGAATCAGATGGGCGTATCAGAGGGACCTCTTGGGGAACGGGACCTCTTGATAAGCTGCAATGGGAAATGACCAGGAAGGGCGAGGTCAGAGCTCAGCTTAAAGGCTGACACTAGATAAAATGTAAAATCTTTAGAAAAATGGTCTAGTTTATCCTAGTGGCCTAGTTAAATCTGTAATCCACACGAAACACCATTTTCTTCTTCTTCCTTCCCATCCGCACTTGCAGAACCTCACACCCCCTCTGGGCTCCGGGCGCCCCCAAAGTCCTGCCAGCACAACGGGACCATGTACCAACACGGAGAGATCTTCAGTGCCCACGAGCTGTTCCCCGCCCGCCTGCCCAACCAGTGTGTCCTGTGCAGCTGCGCAGTAAGCCCTCCTCCCTTCCCTTTAGCCCAAGCTGGCGGGGGCCTGCAAAGGGTGCAGTACTGTGGACCGGGGTGGGGGGATTGTTCCCCTGGTCAAGCAGAGTGAGAATGAACAGGCTCAGGGGAAAGGGAAGCACCTGGGGTTCAGTAGGCTCTGCCCCTCGCTCTCAGGTTTCCTCATCCTCCTGGGTGTTTTGTCTCCCCCAGTAGGCACTGCATACCTTGGAAGAAATACAGAAATGTTCTGTACCCTCTGCTGCTCTCCACCCGGGGCCTGCCTGGCACAGAGGACGTCTGTAATGATTGTTGAATAAAAGCATGAATGAGTGAATGATCAATCCAGGGACACAGAGGCAGGGCCATGTTTGCAGCAAATGTGATTTAATCTGAAGCTGCTTAAACGCCTACCTGTGGTCGAAGCAGGGCCTTGGGGCAGGCAGGGCTGTCCCTGCAATGTTATCAGAGACCAAGGCCACCCAAGGCCAAATCTGGCAAGTGCTCACCGAGGTGGGGGCACTCTGTGTGTGCCCTTTTACAAGTTTGCAGGTGGCTTTTGGCATGTGATTCTTATTATTTTTATTTTTCATTTTTTAAGAGATTTTTGCTCTAGGGTGAGTGCATTCACTAGAGCGACAGAGAGAGATAGGGGGACAGAAAGTGAAAAAATACAATCAACCAACCAAACGACAAAATACAGCAAGAAAAAAGAAAGCGAGAACCCACCACCACCACCACTGGAACTGGCCATGCCACAATCCCTTCTCCATTCTCTGAGGATTTGGGGCAGGCACGCACACATGCCCAGCATGAGTTTATTTAGCGGTCAAGTCCAGGACTCAAACCAAACTCAGACCAGCGCCTTCACCACTGCGCCACCTGCTGGCGCCTCCCATGTGATCCTTAACCTTGGGCTGTGAATGGGCGGAAGAAACCCCTGCCCTCTCCATTTCCTTACTACCTGGTCATCAGACTTCCCTGGGCCTCAGTTCCTCTGAGCATGGAAAGGCGTCTGACCAAGTGATCCACGGTTCTCTCTAGACTAGGTGTCCAGCATGCCCTGGTTCCTGGTCTGTTGTCTCCCTAGGTTCATAGAAAGTCCTTGTTTCTCTCCAGTATCCCAACTGCCCTGGGAGAAGGAAATGGGCTCAGAGTCGCTAAGTGACTTGCCTGAGGTCACACAGCTAGTGTCAGAGCCAGAATTCAGACCTAGGACTCCTGATTCCAAAGCCCATGTCCCTTCCCTGTATCATGCTGCTTCCTAGGAAAGGACAGGTGTCTGGATTAGAGCAGCTGCAGAGAGACAAAAATGATGCTGAGGGTAGGGTGGGGACAACATTCTTCGTCCTTTCTTCTGGATACTGGGTTCCCCTTCTTTCTTCTCATCCCTGTTCACATGGGACTGGCTTGACTCCTAATCTTGTCTGAGGGATCAGAATCCTTCTCGCTTATGGGAAAGGGACGAGGGAAAGGACTCAAGGGAACGTCTCTTCCTCCCAGGAACCTTGAGTTTAAAAGAGTTTTCACAACCAGTGCCTCACTTGTTCTTCACA